GCAAAATTCGGCTAAAAGTTGAAGAGAATCTGTTAGAAATGAAAATTCTTTAAGAATAGTTGCAGTCCAAGTAAATGTCGTTCTGTTGTGTCCGATTGGCCAAATGAAAGATCCTGGTAGTTCTGGTGAAAAACAATGGAACATTCGTACAAGATCAGGTTTCAGATTGATGAGTTCGGCTGTTCATTTGATAATGCCAATGAAGATATCAGCTGTTCTACTGTAAAGAAAAAAAAATGTCATCATTGATAATGCAAATATATGCAAAAGTAATTGACTTGTAAATTATTTTACACACTGCAGATATAACAAAAATGGACGTATCTATTTTCAAAGAGCATTTATTCAACAATTTAAACACCCGAAGAAAAATTTACCAATTTAAAAATCTATTGAAGATGCTATTAGAAAATCTACTTCACTCTTTTAAGACTTTCACTGCTGCATTGTTGCTTGGCTGTGCTGACCCATTTTTGAAAAAATAAGAAATTACCATTTGCTAGAAGTAAATGATTATAAGGTCACTGACAGCAATTTCTAATGGGTGCTGTCATTTTGATAGCAGACTAAGCAAAATGACCCCCACCACCCTCAACATGAAATATAATAAAAAAATATATCACAAAACTGGTTGTATTGTTATACGCTGCTATATGTTTACACTATTGTGAAAGTAATAATCATTAGGGAGCAACTGTTTCATTAAAAACGACTGACAAGGTATCACAATTAAACTTTCTATTTAATTTTTCTTGAGATCTTATAAGTGTTTTCTTTTCTAGACATAAAGTGTGTAAAAATTATCTAAATGTTCTGCATATCCAAGTGCATTTGGCTATTCTTTTAGCGATTATCAAGAATTTACAGTGATACCCCCTCGACTATTAACATTTCAGCATTTGTGGCTTCACACATGTGCAGATTTTTCTTTAGAACATATGTACTTGTTATTCGTGGAAACCCTGAATATTCGTGTGATTTTCTGAAGAACATATGTACAAATTATTTGCTAATAACTCCCTCGATTCGTGTATTTTTTCGATAGAACATATTTAAAATATTCTTGTATTATTTTACTGATATTTAAGTGACTTAAAACATATAACTGTCCATATTTATGGTAAAAATAGGCAGAATTGTACATCTTCATTGTAAAACCAGACTTAAAAACATGTGTAGTGCTTGGGCTTTGTTCTATGATAGGGGCTGTGGCTGGGGTTTTAAAAGTGGCTTATGATAAGTTTGGGGACATCATCACAGTTAGGTTTTTAGAAAATGTTTTAAACTTTATATTTTATGTCTTGTTATCGATCTATGTGTAATTAAAAATGGTTATTGTACATATGAAAGAAAATTTACGCTAAGTGTATGGTCACCAATACTATTTTCCAAAAATGTTTTAAAAATGGTCTGAAATGTTTCTAAAGTGTTTAGGATGAAAGTTTAAGGCATATGGGGTTTTAACAATCAAAATAGGTACTTATAAGCATTTTTAGGAGGGGTTACGGATATTCGCGGATTCATGGCCAGTTCTGGGTCCTAACCCCCACAAATATGGGGGACTCACTGTACTGTCAATTCCCAGTACCTATTACTCACGATGTTTGCTAGTGGTGCCTCACTGATGTCATCTGCAGGCAAACAAGCCACCTACTGACATGGAAACAGACGACGTCACCAATCTTGTCCGCACTGTCCTTTAACAGAAGATACCCTTCCACAAATGAACAAAATGGCATCAAAGCAGAAAAGGCAGGTAAACACTGTTCCTTTAAAAATGGTCTGGCGCCCCCTTCTGTTTGCCTTGGGGTTCTTGATAGGCTCCTGAGGCGGATATGTAATATAATTGGCCCTGCTCTGGCATCTCATCTACAGTCACTTTCTCACAGATGTGCCGTCACCTCTCTCTGTCTTGTTTTACATATACTTTCATGGCAATTGCTCGAGGAGCTGCATTACGCTAGTTCCCAGACTTCTGTGAGTTCAAAGCGCCCCTGAGGCTGGCATCCGCTCTCACTGCCCTTTCACTGTCAAAACTCCTAAATGTAGCCGTCTCTTCTACTCCAATAGCTTCATGTCTCGCACCTCTCGCCTGTGGAACTCCTTCCCTATTCAGTTTCCCTGAGGCTATAATCTCCAACTATTCAAATGTAATGTCAATCTGACATCTCAGTTGCCATGATCTATCCACTATCCTTCTCCTCATCCTTTCCTCTATCACTGCTATCTGATCTCGCTCCAAATCTTCTGTAACCCCTTGCATCCTAGTGGCTTCCCGCCTTGCTTGGGGTGAAACGCTTAAAAAAAAAAAGTTACAAATAACAGAGTTTGCAAAACAACATGACAACAGGCCAGTTGAGAAGCAGTATGAATCCTGATCCACCAATATTTTGTTAGTATCATACAATATATAGTTTTTTGTCAAGTATTGATGATAACCAGTAGACAGCTTCCTGCTGGGACTGTAAGTCTTCCATTCGTACTGTCAGTTCCCAGTTCCACTATCTGCCATGCTTGTTTATGGTCAGTATTGCCTCACAGGTGCCAACTGCAAGCAAACAATTCAACTGTCATTATCGAAGCAGATGACTGTCACCAATCTTGTCAGCACAATCCTTTAGCAGAGAATACCTTTCCACAAATTAAGATAATTGACATGTAGAGTTGGCAACTTGGACTTGCTAGTACGATAAGCTATTAAATCCTCAAATATTTTTTTCTCCTCAAAAAAAAAATACCTATTATTGGATATGTTTTACCACTTTTAGCATCTTAGGATATGGGAAATACAGCACACACACACACATGTATGTGTGTATATATATATATATATATATATATATATATGATATTAGAGAAAATATTAGAATTTTTTTAGTCCCTTTTTTTCTGAGTCTGAGAATTGCTCATCAGTTCCACATAAATAAACAGACTCTTTTTATAAAAATATAAAGTTTTGATTCAACTGATATTATTCATTTTTGGGGAGAGTCTTTTCTTTATTTTATCATTTTTTATCAAAACTTTTTAGACTGGTTACCCTCTGACCATTAAAGTAGTGTCAAGTCTGAATAATACAAAAAAAATCAAAAACAAAAAAAACAAAAACAAAAAAAACATACTTCATGCAAATTTGACACTTGTGATAAAAAGCAATGATAACCTTAACAAAAGATTAGCAAAAAAAAATAAATAAATAAATAGAAAGATTTCAACTTGGAATTCAAATAATTTATATTACTATATGATAAAATAAGTTAAATTGTAATACTATCTTTTTTGACTGGTTAAATATTCAATTTGAATTGTTTTTTTTAATGCCATATCTCACCAGGATGTATGCAATCATGGCTCTCCACAATTTCCTTTTCTTTATTATCTGTGAATTGCCCTTATAATGGAGAATAGTTTAAAATGAGTGAGTGAAACCTATGGGTCTTGTTGAAGACCACAATTCTCTGAACCTTGTGGACCAGGACTACAGAATCAAAAAGAATGAACTGTACCAAATAACCATGTCACTTGAGGACTACCAACAGCTAAAATAGATATCACATGTAACTCAAAAAAACAATGATGATATAATCAAGATGTTGACATTCCACACTACTTCAAACAAAAGGTTAGGAAGAAAACCACCCATCAATAATGGAAAGAGTGTCAGCAGTTATTGGTCTTGAAAAAGCTATTTTCCTGCAAAATTGCTTGAAGAGAAAGATTTTATAAATTTCAACTGACAGTAGCACTGGCTGTTTGTTCAATGATTGTCAAATGTTTCCTTATAAGGAAACACCAAATATTACCATTGCCATTTCTGTTGCCTTCTCCACAGTTTTGAATTCAGAAAATCCTTGTACAATTGCCACCAAAGTTAAAAAATAGAGTCTACTCTTATTTAACCTATAGTTGGTGGAAGAGAAGAGATTATTTCATATGCTTTCAGCATGAAAGTGAATGCAACAGACTAGACCAGAATTTTAACTTGGCTTGATGTTTACAGTTTTGTGCTGATAACCACTATGCTACCTGCATATCCAATTTTGACAAGATGTGGATTGAATCAGTTATGTGCCATACATGATACACACTTAGGCGATCATGTATCTTTTGATGCATGAGTGAAAAGGCAGATTTTTTTTCTCATAGTAGGTTGCCATTTCTTTCTGCAGTAGACCAATTGCCATTCAAAGCTACAGAACCCAGCCTGTCCTGCTACTTACCCATAGCTGGGAGGAGAAGAGGATTCATACCTTTCCCAAGAGTATTAACACATAAGTGAATATAATGGATTCAAATGGAATTTGAACTTGGCTTTCCGATTCCTCAATCCGAGCCACTATCCATTACTCCACCATGCCTTCTAGTGGATTGATTACTTATATTATTTACAGTTACACTAATGTCTTCATCTTTGTTTTTTATTATTACAATATTTTGGCTGTTGTGCCTTTTGTCCTTCATCAGGAGTCTGTTCTCCATGGAACCATCAGGTGATTTTAAACTGAACCCTTTATTTAATCTATGTGTTCTCATTCCATTGTACAGGCCTAAGGATGTCACATCTTATTTTTTTTTTTTTTTTAAGTACTGCTCAGTGATTGCTAGTCCTGTATCCACTGAATCTGAGCCTGTACTACCTAGGATAATAGCCTAGTGGCTTATAGCATTGGCTTGTGAATTTAGTGGCATAGTAATTCTGAGTTCAGTCCCTGGGCATGGTAGTACTGACTGAGAAACAGGACTAGCAATCAATGAGTAGTATTAGGAAAACAAAAACCAAAGACTAAATATCCCTAGGCATAGACAGCAGAATGTGAAAAATCTCCCTTCTACCAGTAAATGCTGGACAGACACTTCAGAGATGTAGTTCTACAAAGGCTAAGAATATCACAGACAAAACATGTAAGAAATGAGGATGTCTTAAGGAAAACAGGAACTACAAGAAAATTGAGGCTGAAAACCAGAACAAGACAGTTGAAATTTCTAGGACATGTAATGAGGAAAGGGGCTTAGAGAAGATGACACTCACAGGATAGACTGAAGGCAAGAGAAACAGGGGGTGGAAATGGTGCAAACAGTGGGTAAAGAGAGGAGAAAAGAGTATGCAGGACAGGGGAAAAGAGAGGAGAAAGACTCAGAAGTAACATAGATTAACAAATGAGAGAAAGTTCTGGAGTGCCATGTTTGTTCATATACTGAAAAAAACTTTACATGTTTAAT